CGACGTGCCGAACGGGCAGCCCAGCACCAGCAGCCCCTCGTCGCGCACGCACACACCGCTGGGCATGTTTGCCGGCCGGTCCATGCCCTTGGCGCCGGCAATCTCGATGCGAGATCAAAAGGGGAACCGCTCCCCAGCCGTCTCAGAGAGATTCTGGTTTTGAATGTGGGTGTAGGGTGGTGATTGAGAGGCTCTGAAGTCGCCCTTATCGCTCCCGACGCTCTGCGAGGGAGTGCCTTCTATTTCGGTCGTGCCGTTGTGTTGGTGGACTGAGATAGACGAGGAGGGCTCGGCACCCGCGCAGCGTGACCCCTGCAGCCGTCCACAAGGCCCTACGTAGACAGAGGCGAAGATCCACCCCCCGCACCTCATCAGCTGACGATGCAGCGTGTCATCTCCCTGACAGCTGGTCACTGAGTGAGTGGTGCTTTTGACTCTTCCCCCCTCTCGTCTATCGGCCAGCGCTGCGTTGACGTCATCATGGAGCCGCGCTGCATCGGCGAGCGGATGTTTCGGCCACACCGCGCCCAGCAGCTGGGCGCTCGCATGGACAACGCTGTTGCAGCGGGTGGTGCTTGTGGTGGTGGTGGTGGAGGTGGAGGTGTTGCTGCCCTGCCGCCGCTGGATCATCATAATAATCACCAGGGCGGCAACTGCTGGGACCACCGGGCCCTCTCGGACAGCGCCTGCTCGCCCGACACCCACAGAGGCCACCCAACCTTCACCCCGGGGGCGGCATCAGCATCGGACCAGAACGGCTTCGCTCTGCCGTTCTTCCCCGGGGCACCCCTAGACGGCCACGGCCACGCTCATCATGGTCATGGCCGCCATAATCACCAGCAGCAGCAGCAGCAGCACACACCATCGCACCAGTACCAGCACGCACAGCATGTGCAGCAGCAGCAGCAGCAGCAGCCTCAGCAGCCTCAGCTCCCGACGATAGTGGTCAAGAGTGAGAGTGAGGTGCCTGACGCTGCCACTGCAACACACCAGCAGCAGCAGCAGCCGCACAAAGGGCAGTGGGATGGGCTGGTAGAGGGCGGAGGGGAGTCGACGAGTGCCAGTGGGGCGGAGTGGACGCCCACCCCTGGTGCTGAGGGAGAGGGGGAGGGAGAGGGAGCGGGGGAGCGTGAGGGTGTCCAGGGGAATGTTGGCGAGTCTGAGGTGGAGAAGGTGGAGATCACACGGCCTGCAGACCTGCCACGAGACTGCAGTAAGCCAAGCCACAGAGAGACGATGAAGTGAAGCGCCGTTCCGAAGTCCATTCTTCATTCGCCATTTGTGTGTGTGTCTGTTGGTCTTGCCTTGCAGGTCTGCATGTCCGAGCGCGTGAAGACTCCGACTTCCCCTTTGAGCTGGTGCTAGAGTACCCCCTGCCCGAGGGCGTTCCCCACATCCCCATCGCCGCCCCCCTCGAGCCACTGCCACCCAATCGCACCTCGTGGGAGCCAGGGTACATCCAGATCGTCGCGGAGACCCTGTTCGTGCAGCTGCGGCAGGCCGTCCCCGCCGCAGTGGCACCCCACCGAGTGCATGTCAAGACGGAGCCGACGGACGATGGGATGGGGGACGGGGGTATGGTGGATGAGGACCTGCATGCGGGGTCCAACAACACCGACGAGGAGCCGGCACTGGCGGCGGCACCGCTGTCCCCTCAGCTGCCGATGCCTGGCCACGGTGGCCACGGTGGGCACGGTCAGGCCCACGTCCATGGCAATGGTAACGCCCCCGCACGGACTGCGTCGGGGTCGTACGATGGCGCTTTCGACCATCACCGCCACCATCAGGACAGGGAGGCGCCCCCTGCTGCTGCAGGTGGGGGTGCTGGGGGTGGTGGTAGTGATGGTGCAGGTCCGCCAGTGGAGCCGGGTGTGTATTGGGGCCGGTATCTGCGAGGGCCGCCGATGCCCGTGCGTGTGGTGGACCTGCGGTATGCGACGGTGGGTTTGGGTGGTGAGTATGGCGATTGTATGCCAGAGGTTTTGCCGAGCCAGGATGCCGTCAGGAGAGGCCGATGCGTCTACTGCTACATTAGCGAAGACTAGTAAGCCACCGGACAGACAGACAGACGGACAAGCAAGAACAAAACCCACCACTGTGTGTGTCTCCGCAGCTACAAGCCCTTCGTCTTCACCTTTGAGAGCTTCATAGAGCATTACGCCGAGCACCAGCGGACATTCCTCCACGAAGCCTCCTTCCCCCCCGATGTCTTTGTCGAGGCCGCGCCGTCGCGCATGGCGTGTCTGCAGGAGGCCCTGAGGCACTTCTGGCGCGGCGGGCAGGGGGCCTGCCTCAAGTGCGGCCAGGCGGAGATGGTGAAGGGGCTCAGGGGGGAGGCCTTCTGCGGAATGTGCGATGGGTAACTTACTAAGGAGGAAGGAATGGCATACACAGAGCGTTCGTGGCATGGAGGGGTGGTGGGGCAGGAGAGATGTTTCGTTGTTGCGCTTTTGTTGCCTCCCTTCATCAGGGAGGCCCCCAACGACAGCATAGACGCCGCCCCACACCCACACTCTCACCCCCAGCCGCCTTCCATGCTCATGCGGCAGCCCCCGCGGCGCAGGTCCCGCCCCACCCACAACGCGCCCCATCTCCCTTCACCACCCAACGCCCACACGCCCGGCAGCGGGATCGCCAAGCGCATCGGCACCTCCAAGCGAGGGCGGGATGTCGGCGGCGAGGATGGCGCGGGCAGCGGTCTGCAGATCTTGGCGTGGCGGCCCTGGAGCGAGAGCGAGATGGAGTACTATGTCAAGAGAGAGGACGAGTGCTACCGGTGAGGCCGACCATGAGAGGAACGAACAGAGAGAGGGAGAAGAGAGGAGAGAAATGCATTCATTGTGTCAATCGATCATTTGTGTGGTCTGTGTGTGGTGTGGTGTGGTGTAGGGATGTGCGCTGGTGTCGTGAGAGCTGGCTGTGCCACCACCCCGGCGCCCACGACCAGATCGCCGCCTTCCGTCGCAAGATGGAGAGCATGGCCATGCACACACACTCCCAGAACACATTCGGACCCACAGGTAAGGAATCCTTCCCCCTCTCCCCCTCCCCTCCAGGGCCCCTCCATCCATCCATCCATCTGTCTGTCTGTCTGTCTTTGTCTGTCTGTCTCTGCAGCCAAGACGGAGGCCACATTCACTCTGTACAAGCGTGTGGATCGTGTCCTTGCCAGCCGGCAGGTGGGCAGCTGTTTCGGCCACCACCAGCACCACCACCAGCACCAGCAGCACCAGGGGCAGAACGTGCAGTACCTGGTCAAGTGGCGCCACCTGCCCTACTCCGAATGCACGTGGCATCACGCCGCGTCGCTCAACCATCCTGACGACCAAGCCGCCATCTCACGGTGGGTGAACAATCCTTGAAATCCTCCCCCCCTCTCTCTCTCTCGGTTCACATCCGTCCCCCTCCCTCCCCATGTGTATGTGTGTTGGCAGGCACGAGCACTTCAACTCTCGTCGTTCGGTGTGGTCGTTCCACGAGTTTGCGCAGGAGGTGGTGGGCGAGGACCGGTGGCAGGAGACGTGGCTGGCCGTCAAGGCCAAGTCCGAGCAGCACGCGCCCCTCTCACTCGTGCGCAGCCCAGAGCAGGCCGACAACTGCCCGCTGTGGCTGGAGGCCACGGCGCAGAAACTCTTCCGCGACGGCACGTACTTCCCTGCCATGGTAACTCTCACAGATACACACACGTATACGCACAGAGAGAAAGAAAGAAAGAAAGAAAGAAAGAGAGATGGGTGGGAGGAGAGGGACGAGGGTGGGATGTCCGTCGTGTGTTTTCCTGCAGTTTGACCCCTCTGTGGGCGATTTCCACGCTGCGATTCGGGAGGACGGCTTAACGCATGGCATCGTCGAGTACGACCGGCTGCACCGCCACCAGGTGGAGGGACTCCGGTCGATGCTGCACCAGGCCACCCAGCACAAAGGCACACTCGTGCAGTTCGACCAGCCCGGGATGGGCCGCAAAGCTATGGTCAGTGAGCAGGGGAGTGGTCGAGGGCGAGGGAGAGAGAGACAAGGCGCATCGTGGTGTGTGTATGTCTGGACCGCCCTCCCTCCCTCCCTCCCTCTCTGCGTGTGTGTTGTGTGTGTGTCTCGGTGTAGGTGGTTGTGACGATGGAGCATCTTCTGGAGCATCGGCGCCGCAGCGACGGGCGTGCTGCACATGGGCTGGTGGTGGCCCCGCACACCTCCCTCGACGGATGGTGCCGCGAGTTCCAGAAATGGACGCCACACCTTAACGCCGTCACATTTGCCGGTAGATAAACACACCACCACACACCTTTCCCACAGCCCAATTCCCCTCCCACACGCACTCTCCCTCTCCCTCTGTGTCTGTGGGGGTGTCCATAGGCACATCGGCTGACCTGTCGGCGATCGCCAGGTACGAGCTGCAGTGGACGCACCCCTTCCTTGGCCCCTCCAAACGCGCCAGGACGTCCCATGCCCGGGCCGGCCTGGAGGGTCTGCAGAAGGCGGTCAAGGCTGACGTGGTGGTGTGTTCCCCGGAGAGTCTGGACAGCGACGAGTTTGCGATGCACCTGGGGGGCGGCAGGGTGGACTTCGCCGTGTGTGTGGTCGATGGACATGGGGCATGGAAGGTAGACATGGAGAGAGAGACGTATATGCTATGGAGAGAGACAGAGAGTCTGCAATGAGAATGTGTGTGTGGGGTTTCTGTCTGTCTGTCTGTCTGTCTGCAGGAGGGTGAGCGACTGGACGTCCTGTGTCGGCCGCTCCAGCAGGTCGTCCCGACGGCAAGCAGCACCAACATCCTCATCGCCCACCCCCAACACGACCCCCTCAACACCATCACCACCGCCACGCCTGAGGAGGTCTTCGCGACACTCGCCTTCATCGACCCCCACACATACACCTACCAGAGCAACCACAGCAGCAGCGGCAGCACCGGCTGGAGCGGCCCGGGGGGGCAGCCGCTGCTGGACCCCCACACACATGAGGGGTTCATGCAGCAGTATGGCGAGTTCCACCAGTATCCGTAAGCAGCTGAGCACTGAGGACGGATGGATGAATGGATGGATGGATGGATGGCGCGTGTGTGCGTGCGTGTCTGAAGGGACTTAGCGAGCCGCGTGCAGGAGGCCTTGCTGTCCTACGCGTTCAAACGGTCGGTACCCTCACAATCCCACACAATCGGTGCTTCATGTGTGTGTGTGTGTGTGTGTGTGCCTGTGTGGGTGATGTGGTGTGTGGCAGTGAGCTGTCGCGTGTTTCGCGCCACCTGCCGGCCCAGCGTGTGCACGAAATGGTGGTGCCCATGACCGTGGCACAGAAGAGGGCCTACGCAGCAGTCTACCAGATGTATGCAGCACACATACAGCACACGCAGCACTTACCAAGGGGCGCGCAAGAGGAGCTAGCTCTTCTCCGTGCTTCGTGTGCAGGTATGGCCATGAGTCGACTCAGCCCAACTGGCAGAACCATCTCGCCACCAAGGTGAAGTGTGTCAGCAAGGCCAGAGCAGCAACACACGGCGGGAGCTTTATCCCACTCTCTCTCTCTGTGTGTGTGTGTGTGTGTATGGGCAGCTGCGCGAGTGCTGCAACCACCCGCTGCAGATGGGCATCGAGAGCATCAGCTCGGCCATGAGACAGGGCGACATCCACCCCTCACTCAGACGCAGAGGTCACACACACACACACACACACACACGACACGCGACCGGCCACAATCTGTGTGTGGTGTGTGGTGCTTTCCTGACTGCAGCTGGCGAGTCCGAGGAGTCTCAGGAGGGCCGAGTGCTGCTGGAGACCTCCGGCAAGCTTGCCTTCCTCGGCAGGCTGCTGCCCGCGCTCAAACTGCAGAAGCGCAAAGTCATCCTCCTGTCGCAATTTGCCGAGGTCAGCCTGTCTGTCTGTCCTACTCAACGGCTGCACGGTGTGTGTGGAGTGTGGCGTGGTGTGGTGTGTGCAGACCTTGTCGCTACTCGAGGGTGGTGTGCTCAGCCCCAAAGGCTTTTACTGGGAGCGCCTTGACGTGCTCATGGCACCAGAGGAGCGGCAGATGGCCATAAACCGGTGTGTCAGTGGGGAGCATGGCAGCACAGACAGACAGAGAGAGAGAGAGAGAGAGAGGGAGGGGAGGGGCGTGTGGGCATCCATCCATCCATCCTCCATCCATCCATCCATGTGTGTGCGTGATTGTTGTCCGAAAGGTTCAACGAGACTGACGAGACCTTCCTGCTGCTGTCGACCTTCGAAGCGGGTGCACACGGGGTGGACATCACCCCCGCCACGACCATCATACATATGGACCCCCCTGACTCCATCATCGGCCGCCCATGCGTACGCAGCACAGCACAATGGCTGGCCATTTCCCCTTCACTGCATCCATGTCATGTGTGTGTTGTTGTGTTCGCTCATCGTCCATGTCATTAGGTGGGTGTCCGGTGTGAGTGCGTGGCGCAGACCCGCGAAGTTACCGTGTACCAGCTGGTGGCAAAGGGCAGCTACGAGGCCAAGATGCTGCGCATCGCCGCCAACGCCGCCAGGGAGGGGCACGAGATGCTCCTGGCAGGGGACATCCGCCAGATGGTCAACGAGGGCATCCTCGTCGCCCTCACAGGTACCCTTTCCCCCGCCCCTCTCTCTCTCTCTGCGTGTTGTGTGTGCTTGATGTGGTGTGGTGTGGTGTGATGTGGTCTGTGTGCAGATGACCAGACGATAGAGCGGGAGGACAGGGCGTTCGGGCGGGCCTCTGTGCAGACCATTCTCCAGGGGCGTTTCGGCCAGCAGCAGACGGACGGCAGCAACGAAGACGACTCATGCTGGGAGCTGGGTGCGCAGGGAGAGAGGGAGGGTGTGTTGTTGGTCGGCAGGTCATGCCGTCTGTCTGTGTGTCTGTCTGTGTCTGCACCTCCAGGCAATAGTCGTGACCCAGCCTTTCTGCCGCGCGCCACTCTGGCGCTGGAGCAGTTCAACCCATCCCTCTCCATCAGCAGATGTGTGCCGTCCTTCAGGTAGCCCCCACACACCGCTCACTGCCCTCACACACAGGCCATTCATTCATCACCTCTCTTTCTGCCGTCCTCTGGCTCTCTCTCCACACACAGCCGCGAGGAGCGTCGCAGTCACGTGCCCGGCCTGCTGCCCCCTCCCCCTCCCCACTCCCACACACCCCACTACCCCTACACAGCCCCGCCACCACCAGCCCCCCACGCCCCTCTCACCCACACACCTCCCCCTGGGCGCAACTGCCCCCAAGGCGGCCGCAATCGTCGCTCTCGCCGCCAGCAGCATTTGGTCACCGTCAAGACCGAAGTCGGCCTGACAGAGCCGAGTGAGGCACCTGCGGCCGCACCTGCTGGACCTCCTGCCGCTACTCCTGCTGCGGGTCCGTCTGTGGGTCCGTCTGCACAGCAGCAGCAGTATCAGTACGGTGAGGTGTGGGAGGAGGTGGACGGGGTGCTCATGCCCAGGTTGGGGCTGGTGCCCGCTGACCCAGAGCCACTCGTGGTCGACGACGATGAGCCACAGCACCACCAAGAGCACCATGAAAACATGCAGCCGCCGCCGCAGCAGCAGCAGCAGTATCAGCAGCAACATCAGCATGAGATGCAGCAGCAGGTGCCATGTGAGGAGATGAACGTGATGTCGGTCAAGCAGGAGGGGGCCGGATGAGAGCACTGATGTGGGTTTTCTGAAGCGTGGTGGTGCACGTGACGTGTATCTGTAGACGCCCCAGACAGATGCCGGTCGGTCTGGTCTGGCGGCGGTTTTGCAATTAAAGGGGAGGGAGGGGCCAGGGAAGGGGGGAGGGGGAGGGGCGAGGTGTGCGAGCCGACACTGTGTGTGTGTGTCTGGTGGGTCGGTTGGTGCATGCTGTCTGACAGGTTTATATCCACGATATTGGTTGCTTCGTTTTTCTTTGGCCGCTTGTCTGTCTGTCTGTCTGGCCGATCGGATTGGTCCTCCGGCGGTATGCGTATTCTGCATACACACAACACAACACAACACAACACACACCCGGCGATGTGGTGCTGGGCTGCCTGGCTGGCTGGCGCGCATTTTTGCTGTCTGCGGATATATATCACTTCTAACTTTTTGGTGCTTTCTGTTAGTTGACGTGTGAAGGGTTATCCAGACAGACAGGCAGGCAGGCAGAGGACAGACAGCCCACACAGCTCACAGCTCGATGGATGATGCTGCTGCTTGTCGGGTCCTCACATGCAATTGGTGCCTGCCTTGCCTCGTGGCTTTGAACACGCGTGTGTGTGCGTGTGCGTGTCTGTCTGTCTGTCGGTCTGTGAGAGACGGTCTTCGCTTCGCCCTTCATGCCATCCATCCATCCATCCATCATGTTTCTCGCCTGAAGCTCCATGACTCGCCATCCCATCCGCCATATGATCCATGCCACGTGTGCTTTATCTTCCTGTCTGTCTGCCTAGCTGTGGGTCCGCACACACGTCGGTGTGGACCTGCCGCACGCACGTGTGTGCCTCCTTTCGGGCGGGGAGCTGTATACAAGAGAGAGGAGAGTGAGAGAGAGGCTCCCATGGTGCTCCTGCACCTCGACTTTGCTGTCTGCCTCTGTCTCCCCCGTGTGTGTCTCCTTTTCCTCCGATTGTTTGTCAGTCACTTATCGTAATTAACTCTCATGAAAGAAGGTGGTCGCAGCGCTGATTCGGTGGAGTGCGTGGCATGGGCCGGGTGGACTGCGTGCGGTCACGATCGATGATATGATGAGTGTGTGAAGTGAACTTGTGCGTGTGGCAGTTACATTACGTGACATGGATGGGACGCGATGCGTGTGCGCTCTCTGGTGGCTGCACTGCACAGATATCAGCTGTAAAGGTAGGGAGTGAGTGCATTCGTTCGGTGTGGTGTGCGATCGGACGTCGTTCAAAGCCTAAAACATACACAAGCAGGGAGGGAGGACGGGATGTGTCTGACCGCTTAGGCTATCCATCCATCCATCCATCCATCCACACACACAGGCACACGCACGCACATCCATCCATCCATCATCCCTCCGGCTGGCCGCCGCCGGCCTGCATGCCATTCAGGAAGGCCAGTGCCTGCACACACCCAAGAAAAGCATCGCCTCCAGAAACTCTGTTTTGGCCGTCACATGGTGGACGTGTATTCTGTCAGACCTTCTTGAGCCCATCGCTCTCGATCCTTCGGGCCTCCAGGCGCTTGTCGAAATTGTCCAGGATGAAGTCGCAGTGAGGCTTGATTTCCTCCAAGTACGCCAATACGGCATCCTGCCAGTGGATATTGATGACCACATACACACACACATAGGCTTATCCATGCCACAATTTTTCCTTCCGTGACCGACCAGGTCTTCCTGTTCGGCGCTCCGCTCGCCCATCTTGTTGGAAGCATCCAGCTCCAGCTCTCCTGACACATACGCACAAACAACACATGAGGCGGGTTTCTGTTTATGTCTCCCTCTCTCTCGCTGTCTCATGTGTGTACCGACCCACCCACCGTGTGTGCCCTGTGCAGTGGTCCGCTCGCCATCCAGTGTCTGGATGTCGGTGTCGCTGTCGGCCATGTACTGCTGGTACTCGCTCTCGGCCGTCGTCTCGTCCTCACGAGCCTTCTCTAAGTCGCTCTCCAGATCCTGAGGAGCAAGACACGAAGAGTAGAGAGATACATCTCATCTACGCGAACAATGCTTCGTCTCTTCTCAGGACTTACATACCGTTTTTATCATGTTGAGCACGGCGACGATGCCGCCGCTTTCGCCCTGTTTGTTGAAGCACACAATACATTGGTGGCCGATTTCCTGTCTGTCTGTCTGTGTGTGTGACTTGTGGCGGGCCCACTTACCGAGCTGCCCGTGTAGGGCCCTGTCCACAGCACGGGTGGCGGGGAGATGGCCGCGTCACGCTCCAGCTGATTGGGGCTGGCCTTCTGGGTGCCATACTACAACGAACACACACACACACACACAAAACAAGCAAACACACAAACAACGACGAGAGGAAGTGACCACAGTACGACCGCATGTCTCTCTCCATCTCCCTCTCCCGCCCACCAGCTGCAGCCTTCTGCGCTTGTTGGTGCGCATGGTGCCAGTAGTGGCCTTGGAGCGATGCAGCTGCAGCGTCGCCGTGTGTGCATGAGTGCGGACGTGGCCCTCCTCGACCAGAGCGAACTCGAGGCTGTTGGCCTCGTAGAAGCCGCGGAGGGTCTCGGCAGCACCCGCCAGCAAGGCAATGGCGTCCAGATCATCTGTGTGTGAGAGGAGAGCAGATTTAGCGAGCGGTCTATTTCTCTCTGTGCTACGACGTCTACCGTGTTGGTTCTGTGTAAATTCAGTCCGCTCGGCTTCGCGTTGGGTGGTGGCCTTCTGTCGGGACTCCTTCACGTCAGCGATCGTCTGCATCAGTGTTCAAGGGACGAGAAGAGAAGGGCATACACAGAGGTTTGAAGGATGGCAGCGGGTGACCTGGCTGATCGTCTTGATGTGCTGAATGAGGTCCGCCTGCGACTTCCGGATGCGCTCTATCTCGCCAGTCAGGTCGTCGAGCGTTTGACTGAGGAGACATACACACATTTTCGTCCTTCCAGCTCACTCCTTCCTCGCACCTGCTTTCGCGCGCCTCTGCGTCTTTGTTGGCGATGTCGGCTTTGCACTGCTCCTTCCAACTGATGTCGTCCTTCTCCTCCTGCCTCATGTGACACACAGCGCACGCCACACAAGGACGGCCGGTGACTCGTTATCTCTCCTTCTCTCGTACTGTAGGTTGGCGATCTCCTTGTTGATGACGTCTTTGACGAGCACAAAGGGGTCAGTGCCGTTGACCATCAGGGGAGCGTCTCTGTCACCCTGTCCATGTGTGAGAATGACATAAAAGAGAATGTCATGGTGCAGGCGTCTTTGAATGACCGGAGGCGATTCACACCCGTACCTCGAGTTGGTGCACCAGCTGGATAAGCTTGGCATTGTGCAGACGGCCTGAATGAACGAGAAAGATACAAAGGCTCTGTATATGCTGGCGCTTCTCCCTTCTCTGTGTGTGTGTGTATACGGGCGATCCGAGTCAGGTTATCGACCACACTCCGTTTCACCTCCTCAGCAAGGCTCACGGGCCGCACCCTCTCCTACATCAACCAGAACACCGACACAAATGCCCTCCTGTGCATCCAGCATCCGTACCTTCAACTGCAGCAGCACCTGCCCCTCGTGTCTCTTCATGGTCTTGCTAAACAGGTCCCGCGAGTCGTCGCTGTGCAGCATCTGGATGGCCTTGCGCACTGACTGCAGCTCGGCCTCGCGCAACTCAACACGCTCTGACGCACAAACACATGACAGAGAGGGGAAGAGAGGGTCAACTGCAGAGCATGCTTGGATAATGCCGAGGTACGGTTGAATTCGGTGTTCTTGGTCTGGCTGTCCCGCCGCACGTCGGCCAGCAGCTGGGTGTCCGCCTCGATTTGTGCCGAAAGTTCCTCCTTCTCCTTGTTGTACTCCACCAGCTTCTGCTCCAAAGGCACATGATAGGTGTTTGCCTTGCGGGCTTGCTGGGCACATTCGCTGTCACACCTTAGCTCTGGCTGCCCCCTCTAGCCGCTGTGCATTTTGCTGCTCCTGAAGGGACGAGATCTCCTCCTCTGCAGATGCCCAGAGAAACGAGTGTGTTCAGCTGCTCTGCGCGGCTGCATTCTCACTGACCCTTAGCAGCTTTCAGTTCGATGAACAGCGTGGTAGCATCCGTCTCTTTCTGCGCACACATCACATGCAGGCAAAAGGCGCCCGTGTGTAGATCCCATCCCGCTGTGTGTCCTTGCCTGGTTAGTCTCGTCGAGGTTCTTTTGGAATGCATCGAGCATGCTGGCAAGCGTCTGCTGCACCGTGGTGGAGCCGGCCTCATAGGCCTTCCTGAAGGGGGACGCCCTGAAGAAACACCGTGTACACGCCAATTGATTCCCCTCTTGAACTCTGCTCACTTGTTCAATTTCCAGTCGGGCTGTGGAATGTCTTCCAGCTGGGGCTCCGCACGGTTGAGGAAGTTCTCAAACACACGAACCTCGTTGGCGCTTGACGTACACCACAACACCATACCGAGAGGGAAGGAACATCCATCGTGCTTTGGGACAAATTCCGCCTCCTCACCGCAGGTATTTTCTGCCAATGTCAAGCACGTGGCGGAGGTCGAATTTGGACACCATCAGCCTGTGCCTGATAGAAAGCAGTGACACACCGACGGCATCCCAGCCATCTCCTGCGGCTTGCCAAAGAGATGCGACTCACCGCAGCATGCGCAGCTTGGATGATGCTTCGTGTGTGTGTTGGTCGTTGGCGTGCATGCCAGCTTCCATCGCCAGCAGCTGCACAGATGGTGTTGTGGCGTTGCTCAAGGTGGCCATAGCAGACTGACAACAACAGCTATAATGACTGGACCGGACCGCATTGAGTGCCAGCACTTTCCCTGCCATGTGCTCACCTGAAGGGCCTGGATTGCCGCCTCCATCTCGGCCTTATTCTGCAGATACGCCTGCTCTTCCTGTGCAGACGATAACAGACCGCTCAGCAAGTGCGTCCACGGTATGCTCCAAGCCTACGTCACGACGTGTGGTTGTCATGTTGGTCAACTCCTGCTGCGCCGCCGCCAGCTGTGTGCAAGCACACATACACACACACAGCCATCCATCCATCCATCCATCCATCCGGCACCTGTGTGTTTGGCGAGTGCATGTACCTCTTCTTTGAGGTCCTCCCCCTCTGTGGTGAGGATGGTGCGGCCGGCGGTCAAGTCATCTATCAGACCAGCCAATTCCTCCACACGAGCACTGAGAAAAAAGAGCAGGGAAGGCGAAGCCAAAAGGGCCGACAGGTTGAAGGCGTTGCAGTGCCCCTGTGGGTGATATGTCAAGTGTGTGTGGATGTGTACGTGTTGTCCTTGATGGCTTCTTCCTTCTTCGCTGTGACGTCGTCGCACCAACACTCATACTTCTTAAACAACCTCTGCTCGGCCTTCCCTGTAGCAGCCAGGCCAAAGACCAGCAGACAGTTGCCGCGAAACCTGCAGCTCATTGATGTGCGCCGTCCTCACCATCGTTGTCTATCTTGGTGGCAAGATGTTCCAGCAACTCCACGACTGGAGAAATGGGACTCTTCTTGAAAGCGTCCTCGGCGAGGGCTGTGCCGATGACGGCCAGCCCGCAGAGAACAAACAGCCACGAAACCATATTGGGGTTCGATTTGGGGGGTCCTGTCCTTCGGTAAATTAAAAGTAGTAAGTGCATGCGCCGTCTCAAATCAGCGCCCCCACCAGCCCCCTCGCGGATTTGTCTGTGACTGCCCACCAACCCCTCGTGGGAAATGCCTTTTCTGTTTCTAACGTTCTTTCCCTCTCCGCGTTTGGTTTCGCCCATGCCGGGGCCCTCGAAGGCTTGTCACGGCATTGCTCCACTTCCTCCCTGAAGGTCCATAATTGCACTGCCGACAGCGACGCACACATCGCCAAGCGCGTGGCACTGCATGGCCGCGAAATGGGCGTGACGGCGGGCGAGTGGGCTATGCGACACCTCAGAGGATGCACCAACCAGGGTCAGAGAACGACAAGCACCCACCCCTCTGCGAGATGACACAACGTCCACTGTTCAAGTGTCTGATGCAGATGTGAGGAATTTATACATGGAGAAAGACAGGGGTGAGAAGAAGTGGGAAACCGGCAGCCTTACCGAAGCGGCCAGCTGGCCATCGGCATGTCACGCAGTGAACCCAACTTCAGACAGTACCAAGTCACGTGTACGCGCGCGCAGCAGCATGGACACACACCGCATTCGTCATGTGTTACACTGCGGTCTGGTTTGGTTTGCCGTGTTTCTTCGGTATGCAGATCACCACATCATCCCCAAGTCGTTGCTCAAGAGGTTCTGGAACAAGGTGGCTTGCTACCACCACGGATACCTCATCGGGCTGGTGGAGATCCTGGGCGACATGGCTCCATACTACGCATTCTGGCCCGTGCTTTGCTTACACGCATGACACAAGCCCGCCCACCGCACCGCAGCCGCAGCAATCAATCGTCTCTGTCTCTGTCGGGGGTGGGGATGTGATGTGTGGGTGCACTGTGCAGGCTCAAGAAGGCCCGTGTGTCGGATACACAGACGTGGCTGCACTTCATCATCAACCCGGAGTCGCTGGAAGGCGTCAGATCATCCGGGGAGGCACAAGAGTCCTGGGACGCCCTCAAGGCGGCGTATTTGTGGATGCCCGGTGAGTGAGTCATGCAGCAAACACCACACCTTCGCTCTCTGCATTTGATCGATGCATAAAGGTAACGTCGTCAAGGGGCCGCAGCCGCAGCAGCGTGTCAACGACCCGGGCAACCGGCTCGATATCGACGTCTGCTGGTACCACAGCTGCCTCAAAGGCTCATCTATCTGCAACTTCATCGCCTACACCTATCAGGTAGGTGTGCATGGGAGGGAGGGAAGGCAGAAAAAGAGAGGGAGAGAGAAATGTCTGCATATATGTCCGTCCATGTGTGCAGGCCATCGACCAGTACATGGAGACAAGCGATGAAGTGGTCCTCGCGGCGCCCTGGAGGGACTGAAAACGCTCTCCCACCACCTTGGTCGGCCACCCATACCCATCCACACACACACACACACAGACATAGGGAAAGAGAGAGAGAGACAAGGAGGGCGAGGAGAGATACAAAGGATCCATCCCACTAAGCAGAATGCGACCGGCGCATGCAGGAGACACCGTCAACTGGGACGTGATGTGGTGGACGGAGAGGCACCCCTTCGTGTGGCAGGACCAGGCCGACTCCCTCAAGTCATTGGCCCAGGATGATCCCCAAAGATACTGCGAGCTCACCGAGAAGTGGCTGCCCAGGATCCAACGTGAGCCACGAAGGTTTTCATTTACCCACCCTGAGCTAGATTTCATGGGCACGATCGACTGGACGAATCCCGACGACCCCGACTGGTGAGCAGAATGACCCAGCCCACGCCTGAAACGAAGTGCACACAAACAAATGCAGGACGCCTGCGCGTGACGAGGAGGGCCACCTGTACGATGAGGATGATGACGAGCCAGGAGAGGACATGATGGATGAGGGCTGACCGGATAAGGCCCGACAGATGGATGGATGCCATTGGATGGATGGATGGATGGCTGTCTGGATGGCTGGCGGTCGATCGGCGACGGCTGTCTCTCTGTTCGCTTCTTGCATGCCATGTGGTGTGGGTGGGGTGGCTGTGTGAGAAGCAGGGGAGGGGGACGGCCTGGCTCAGTTTGTTCGTTCCTTTTGACGGGGAAGGGCAAGAGATCATTCATGGGATCGATCAGTGAGTGACACAGATCATACCAAGTGACTGACAAGTGTCATTCATCAAGTCAGGTGGGACATGCCAGTCGGCACACACGCACACACACACCACACATACACACACTCACACACATCCTAGGTACCACACACACACAGACAGACAGCTGGCTTGGCCCGGCACGGGGGCGTCCCGACCGTCAGTTAAACAGCTAACGCTCCACACACGGTGGAGGTCGGTGTCGCATACAAGGCAGGTGCTAAGGGAGAAAAAAGGCATCAATATTGATAGTGCCGCCGATTTGCAGGCAGGCAGGCAGGCAGGCAGAGAGAGGCATCCATCCATCCATCCAGCCAGCCATCCAGCGATGCAGCCATGCAAGTGCGTCTCATGGTCATGAGAACACTCACTCCTCATCCATCCATCCAGCCATCCATCCATCCATCCAACCGTATCCCCCCCTCTAAGCATCAGTCAGTCAGTCCATCCTCCTCCGTCCCTTATCAACACCCACTCGCCCGCCCACATCTAGGCAGGAGGTTTACTTCCTTGCGCTACGGCTGCCTCGCCGGCACCCCGAACGAGATCATAAAAGAGATTGACACTTATGAATGATGGTGGGACGTGTGTGTGCGTGTGTGTGTGTGTGTGTGTTGGGTATTGTGGACGTCGCCGCCCTCTCTTGCGTTCATCGAAGCGGGGCTCGTGACGACCCCTCCATCCGGCCGATGCATTCGAACGGAGGAGTCGTCTCTCCCACCACAACAACGCCCCACAAGGGAAGAGAGGCTCACCACACCACAGCCACACAGGAGAGAGAAAACACACATACAGCAGAGAGTCGGCCAGGAGTATCGATGCGGACAACACACAGTGAGTGTGAGTGTATCCGTAGATATCGTTAGTTACTTAAAGTGTGGCTGTCCGTCTCCATATCTTCCTGTCGTCCCGGTCGACCCGGCAGGCAAACGCCCTCTCACGGCCCATGCTCATGGATGAGAGGGTGCTTGGTCCGCGGAAGGATCGGTGCGACAGCAAGAGACGAAGAGACGAATACCAGGACCAACGAGCAGCATACAGCCAGCCACACAAAACCGAAACTGCTACGCCATCCATCCCAAAAAGCAAAGCGTCACTGACTGATCCGGCCCCCTCCACCCCACCCCACACACGCTACGCCTGACTGACACCACAGCACCCCAGAGACGGGCAGGTCGGAGAAGAGAGTCAGGTAGGTGGGCAGCCGGCCGCCACACAGCCACACCACACCTTGATTGACATCACTTGGATGGTGGCCGTCGCGAGGAGGATCTGTTGTCTTGTTGTTTTGGCGGAGCTCTCCGCCCCGGCGGTACCCATCCGCCCTCCGCCGCCCCCGTGCGCTTCTTGGCCCACTGCATGAACACCTGCTTGCCGTCCACACACACCTCCTCCGAATAATAGGCGTCCAGCACGTCTGATGACACACACACACACAGGGGGGTCAAGTGCCATGCCGCCGTGGATGGAATAATGGGGGTGTCCGTGCCTGCTGGCGGTGAATTACCTTTAGCGGCTTCGTAGCTTTTGAATTCGACGAAGCAGAATGGGGTGAGGGCCTTGCTGCTGGACTGGGGCACCAGGATCTTCTCGATGTCGTCGTCACCATGGAAGATCTACACACACACACACAGACACAGAGACATCACACCACCTCCAACATGCACCTGTCGACTAGACAGGCCTCTCTCTCGCTTTTCTTTCTCTCACCCGCTCGAAGACCTGCTCAGCCGTGAAGTTATTGGGCAGTCCCGATATGTAGAGTGAGTTGGCGTCGCCCTGCGGCGGGGCGCCGAACCGCTCACGATACCGTGGGCCGCCGCCGATGCCGCGCAGAGGTGGTGAGTCAGGCAGAGGCGGCCTCTCCCGCATGGCTCTCTCCCGATCGATGTCGCGGATGATGGGGGGCGATCTGGGCGAGTGGTGGTGGTTGATGTAGTCGGGCCGCCGGAGGGGTGGCTCGCGCGGGAGGGGCCGGTCGCTGTCACGGGGGGGAGCGGAGGGGGACCTGCGCATCACACACAGATAGATACAGACAGAGAGGAGAGCAATCCATCCATCGATCGATTCCAACCATCAGTGCATCGTGTGTGCGTGCTGTGCTTGTTGTGTGTACCGTACCTGTCGCGTCTTCTATCGCCATTGTGCAGTGGGTTGGGTGTCGGCCTCCTGTCCGACCGGCTGTCGTCGCTGTGGTAGCGCATCCTCTCCCTCTCCCTGTCCCTATCACGCTCACGCAGGCCCTCCCGCCCACCGTTCATATGATGATGATAAGGCGGGTACAGCGGCGGGCCATCTCTGTCGAAGTCCCTGGGCGGTGGCCGGTCCCTCTCGTCAGCGTACCTCCTCCCCTCTGGATGATAAGCGTAGGGGGGAGGCGGCTCCCGCATGAAGTCCCGCTCCCGGTCTCTATCTCCTCGCATGCCGCGGCCATTCATCATGATCATGTCACGGGAGGGCGGAGGGTTGAATGGCGAGCGGGACCGAGACCGAGAGCGGTGATGGCGCGAGTCGCCGCGCCGTTCCAGCCGCTCCATGGACGTCGGGAAGACAAGTGAAGTGGACGCCACGGATGCAGGGTGGGGTCTGGGGATGTGGGAGATGGGAGGGAGAGGCTGTCTTGTCTTGCCCCTCAGTCGTCAGACGTCGATGCTGACAGTTTTCCAGCTGCTGATTGTTTTCCTTCTTCTTGTGCGAGCTCAAAAAGAACTGCATGCTAAGCTCGCAGGTTGTGCTCAAAAGTTTTTGGGCTTCTGACAGAGCGAAGGCAACGCAGAGTGAAGGGTCCTCAAGCGGCTCCTTTCCCTCACTCATCGCCTCCGTCCGACCGGCCCTTCTCGTGGTGAGTTGCCTCGCCCCCTCGGTCAATTCGCGATGCACAAGTACCGGCTTATATCCAAGAAGGGCGAGGGCACTTTCTCTGAGGTGCTCAAGGCGCAGAGCATCAAGACGGGTCGGTACGTCGCCATCAAGTGCATGAAGAACCAGTTCGAGAACCTCGACCAGGTCAACAGCCTTCGGGAGATTCAGGCCCTCCGCCGGCTGTCCCCCCACGCGCATATAGTCAAGCTGCACGAGGTGCTCTACGACGAGCCCACGGGGCGGCTGGCGCTGGTGTTCGAGCTAATGGAGATGAACATGTACGAGGCCATTCGGGGCCGGCGGCACTATCTGCCGGAGAGCAAGGTCAAGTACTACATGTGGCAGCTCATCAAGGCCATGGACCACATGCACCGCAACGGCATCTTCCACCGAGACATCAAACCTGAGAACATCCTCATACTCGAGGACACGCTCAAACTCGCCGACTTCGGCTCGTGTCGCGGCATTTGGTCCAAGCAGCCGTACACCGAGTACATCAGCACGAGATGGTACCGCGCGCCGGAGTGTTTGCTGACCGACGGGTATTACAACTATAAGATGGACATGTGGGGGGTCGGCTGCGTGCTCTTCGAGATCATGGCGCTCTTCCCGCTCTTCCCGGGCACCAACGAGCTCGACCAAATACAGAAGATACACAATGTCCTCGGTGCGTCAGCAGCAGGGACAGAAGCACATAGAGAGGGGCCACACAGCATCGTGTCTCATGTGGATGGATCGATGGATGCAGGGACTCCGCATCAGGACGTGTTGAACAAGTTCAAGGCCAAGGCGTCTCATCTGGATTTCAACTTCCCGTCAAAGGACGGCACGGGCATCGCCCGACATCTGCCGCAGGCCAGCCCGGAGTGCATCGAGATTCTCACCCGGCTGCTGGCGTATAACCCCGATGAGCGCATCAGCGCCAGACAGGCGCTCAAACACCCGTATTTCAAAGATCTGCGGTGAGGAGACACAGAAGAGGGAAGGGAGACAGGAACATTGACATGCAATCCATCTGTGTCTCTTGTATTCTCCGTGTTTTCAGTGATGCAGAGAAGGCTGCTCTCGGGCACATGGATCCCTCCTCTCTCCACCGGTCGTCGCGCACAGACAAGCAATCCTCCCACTCGTCGGCCCACCCTTCCCCGGGCAAGGCCTCGTCCAAACACACCGCCGAGAGCAAGAACACCGACACCCACCACGAGGACAGCACCAAGAAGGGACACCACGACAGCACATCGACAAGCGACTCTCCCTCCCTGCTGCCGGACATCAAGCGCAAACAGGCGGCCGGGGGCGCGTTGCCGCTGCACGAGAACATCCCATCTCCCGTCCCACCACACGAGCCGACGCACCACAAGACAGCGTCGTCACGGAGTGGGGGTCAGGAGACTATCAACACGGTGCTGGCGGAGACCCAGAGCAGCGCATTGTCGAGAGCAGGGGAGAAGGAGGAGGACGGGTCGACCATTCTGCCGCCGATCGGCCATGGCGGCAAGGGACATGTGGTGACAATGCCTGTGGGTCAGGGGGGGCTGGGTGTGAGTGGCCATGCGGCCACGGTCAAGCTGCCCACTGGTGCGTGGAAAGGGCACAAGGCCATGAGGGGCAAGGGGCATGGAGGACACCAACACGGTGAGCGAAACCGCACCACAAAACAGATGGATCGACCACGAGGCACATGTCTCCTTGTTGCTTGTGGTCAGGTTCCAATCTGGGCAGCACGGCCACATCCACTTTCTCTGTCCGCAGTGGTGCAGCGCTCCAATCAACCTCCCCCAACCATCCCTCCAACTACAAAAAAGGCCCCATCCACCAGCAGCATCAACAGCAGCAGCAGCCGTCCCACCAGCAGCCCACCTACTCACACCAGCAGCTTCAGCTTTCGCCCGAGAGCAGCAAGAAGCAGCAACAGATTCAGCTGTCGCCAGAGGGGGGCAAGCCGCAGGTTGGCACCAAGAGAGTGCACAAGGACCACCACAGAGACAGAGATAGAGACAGAGAGAGGGATCGGGAGAGGGAAAGGGAGAAGGATTCGTATTACCATTCGCCTTATGCGGTGTATGCCACCAAGCCGAAGAGAGAGAGGCTGGTGGAGTGACTATGATGGTGGCTGCTTGGTTGTTTGGTGGGGGGTCGATCGATGGATGGATGGATGGATGTATATGTGTGTGGCGGACACTTTGACTCTAGTGCGTAACCATATATGCATATCAAGGATGACTGTGTGTCAATCATTGACCTCCTGGACAGAGTGATCAAGGTCTTTGCATCATCCGTTTGTGGTCTCGCACGCATCAAGAACATGGATGAATCCATGCACACAGCAGGCAGCCCCTCGTCTATTTTCGCACCAGCAGGCCTTTCCTTATCTTTTCCCACTGCACATCCGAGCGAAAGTGAGTGTACTTGTTGTGGAACCAGGTGTAGTGCGATGAATGAGGGTCAAACTCATCCCACTTCATATGTCGGCGCCAACGGCGGCCATGCTCTTTCTTGAGCCGATCGCATTCATAAAGGAAGGAGCACCATAGCTGAAAGTCCACCAGCTTGCACCCGAAAGGAGGGCAGCGTGATAAGGGAGAAGCGAGCTGCATGCAGTCATCATGACTTGCGACTTTCCACTCGACCAGCTGACCCTTCCTGTCCCGGTAGACGGCCCCCATTCCAAAGTGGTTCCTCAGCTTTTCGATGAGAACATGATTGCTCGCGTGCTGTGCGAGAGAGAACACGGCATGACATTTTGGGGGCTTGTGTCGGACAGAGAAGCTCCCTTCTCCTGTGACAAAGCCCGAGAACCACTGCAATGTCTCTTCCCTCTCGGGCAGAATTCCTCCGTATGTGCTCTCGATTCCTGTCGGAATTGACGAAGATGCTTTCGAATTCATTTGCTGCCGGAGAGCCTCCGCTCGCTGCAATGCAGCCGCAGATGGCCGCCGAAAACGAACCCCGCACTCATCGTAGAGCAATCGATAAGCCTCTATCCACTTCTTGTAGTTATATTGCTTGGTGGTCAAAAGGGGATAGCGCTCACACAACTCAATCAGAGGGGCAACTCTTTTGCCAGATAGGACCAACGTCACACCATTATCCGTTCGGTCCATGTAGAGGCTGCCGTCTTCTCCCATCGAAACGCGCACCCGCTCAAGAAGGTGGAGCTCTCGAAGATTCATTTCGAGGTCGAAGCGAGGATAAAAGTACTGACCGCGATTCCCTGCCATGCGAAAACATCCCTCGCCATCGATAAGGCCGACAATCTGGCGTGGCAGAAGTGGTCGGCGGTCTTGGTTTGCAAAGACCAGACACCCTGTAGCCTCCTGCCTCGTCCAATTGCCGACGCCGACGCCACTGGCAAGAAATCTGCGGCTGCTGAGAAAGCCGACCGGCTGACGAGAAGCCCCAGCTGATGAAGCCGATAGGTAAAGGGGCGGAAAGGCTAGCAGCGGGCGCACAGGAGAGTCTTGAAGAGACCCGGAGGCGAGGCCCGCGAAGGCGCTTTGCAGATGCCTCGTGGACGTTCCACAGAAGCCATGGGCAGATGAGCTTGAAACTCGACGGACGGCTGCTCCTAGCAGACGGCTTCCCAACGGAAAGAGCATCGGGACACTGATCATGATCACGCAACGGGGGCGAGACTGGGGGCGACGGTGATTTTAGCTTGCAGCAGACAAAAAAATGGCTTCAACACTCCGTCGTCGCTCTCTGCTGGACCCCGGCAGCCTCCCCCCAGCCGGTCTCTATCGCAGACATCGCATCCCGCCGGCACAGCACATGGCACGATGCAGCACCTCCACACAGCTGCTCTACAAGGCTGATGAAGAGAAGCTGAGGGAGCTTGCAATGAGGAAGGAGGAGGCTGAGAAGACAGAGGAGGAGCGGCCCCATCGTATGAGGGTGTCGGCGTCGTTGCCGGACCTGCGTGTTCCCAAGCCGACAGCGCGTCCGACCTTGAGGCGAGAAGACAGGTGTCCGTGGCTCTTTCAGCCTCCCGAGACCACAAATGGGCTGACACTGACACGCTCCAGGGGTCAGTATGCGTCATCTGCAGTGCTGGTGAGGGAGCCCATCCGCCCAGAAGTCCTTTTGCCGGCCGGGGGTCTGTCAAGCTATCAGTTTGCAAGCACGAGGATGGTCATGAAAGGGGCTCTGCCAAATGCAGACAGTATCATCGTCACAAACGTGAGAAGACACACGTGCACAATGCTCTTTTCCACAGTGCATGCATTCATCTGTGTGTCTCTGCTGTGCAGAAGTGGCGCCCGCCCACGTTCACGCCAATTCGTGGCACGTGGAGCTTCCTGCGCTTTGCAGACAAGCCCACGGGGCTGCCGTCATCGCACTATCGTCGTTCTACGCGGCTGCCGACAAGACGCAGCTATGACAGCCGCATCCATCCCGCGGCGACCAAGACGATAGCCAAGATGGAGCGGGAGCATGCGGCAGCGATTGCCAGGACGGCAGAGAGATGTCTCAGTAGAAGAGCCAGATAGAGAGATAGACAATGGGTCTCTGTGCATATGTGCGCGGAGCGTCGATTGGCAGGAGAATTCAGGTGTCTTCTTATCGGAATTCCTAATTTCGTATGTCTGCTCACTGTACCACGCAACGAGATACACACACACATGCCAGCTAGCGTATGTAGCGTCAAAAAGAAGCAGAGGAGGAGCATGATAGCAGCAGATGAGAGGGCCGGTCGTTGGGAAGGCACAAAAGGATGATCAAAAATCAGCACGATTGACTGATTGACTGAGCCCTGTCTTCCACCACATCCACACCACAAAGACCACAACAGGACAGGCCATCGCGTGAAGTTTTACTGCAATAAAGCGACACAACCAAAGCACCGCATCCGGGGAAAAACTGACTATGCTTGCTCACACTCTGCGTCACACACGATAGTCACTACCCTCCCCCTTTGACACGTCAGTCATCTCGGTCTCCCCTCCGCCAGATGCCGTGCTTGCGGCGCCGTCATCTGTACCGCTTGTTGTGCCCTGGACAGGCCCGACGGTCATGGCCTGCACGGCCATCTGCTGTCGCATGCTCGGGTGGTGCAGATTGACGAAAGGGGCCGCGTGCTCCACCAGAGGTGCACTGGCGCCCCACACGTACCCACGGTTGTGGTCCATGAATGCCTGCAGGCAGACACAGACACACAGACACAGAATGACACGCGAATGATGTGTCATGTGTCATGTTGGTATGGTATCTCGGTATCTCGACCACTGACCACTGTGCCACATGCCGGTGAGAAAACGAATGGACGTTTCCAGAAGCTGCCTGTGCGCAGCATCACTCCGCCCCGCGTGTCGGTCACAGTTCCGAATCTTTGCGGTCGGACACAAGGCACATTGAAGATGGGAAGGAAGCAGCACAAGAAACAGCTCCACGTGCCTGACATGGATGCAGTGAACACACACACACACACACACGCAGAGACACTAACTCATCGCCTGTCATGCCGCTCATGGTGTCTGTGACCCACCCACCTATCGGTTCGATAGCCGTGATGTCCGTGAACTTGAGGGTCTTCCTGAACGCCACCGTCTTCAGCTCGAAGGCATCCTCCGTCCGCAGCACCACCAGCGGCGTCTCCAGCACACCAAACACGGCGCGCACGAACATCCCCGCGCCAATCGCTGCCCAGAGGAAGGTAAGCACAACGTGGCCGGCGATCTGAACGGCGTCCGTAGACTCGAGCACAACATCTCTCGTGTGGACGGCGGCAGCCGACGCGCCCAGCAGCACCCACGTGCTGAAGATCAGCCACAGGCCGAGATACCAACCTGCACGTGACGTGTGCAAAGGAAATGACGGACAGGTGCTGTTGCTGTCCCTCTATATGCGCTTACCATATGCCAATTTCTCTGAGGTGGACGTCCAGATCGGATACGTCTGTGTGGCGCCACCTGACAAGATGATGGGTAGACGGGCAGGTCCTCCGTAAGTGTTTCTCCACCTCCACGTGCACCACCAGAGAAGCATGAAGTTGTTCGGGGTAGCGAGTAGGAATGTGACGAGGCCGGAAGAAGCATTCAGTGACGACGGAGGTCTCCTGAACACGCAAGCTTGGGTCCACACCCGTCGCAACTCATGTCTCGTAGATCTCGCGCGCGAAACTCGGTCTCCGCTCTAACTCGCAGTGCTTCCTCACCGCCGCGCGAAGACATCTCGCCATCGCTTGTCAGTGTCGCTCTTCTCGTCCCCACGCGCAGCGCAAGCTCAGGTTTTGCGCAGATCCGCCTTGAAAGCACGTCTGCATAGGGAGATGGGTTCTTTGATTGCGCCACAGCCTCCCGGAGAGATCCTCTGGATGCGTTGGAGTAATGACGCGTCCGCGGTTTTTGGCTTCACGTACCCGAAAGGGACACTCCTTGAGTTCAAGCAGATGCTCATGACTCACTACTGTCGCCACGCTGTGCGTACGGATCTGTGAGCACACAGCACACGGACAGCCACACGGATGAATCTATTGTGCCCGTCTGTCTGTCTGCCTGCCTGCCTGCCTGCCCTCATGGATGGGCGGCCACATGTAGGGCTATCGGACGGCGAGTGACATCGTATTGGTGGGGTACGGCTGTGCTGACGATGGAAGACCAGCGGCAGAAGTGTTTGGCGACAGAGGCCTGGTGAAGACGGACCCCATCGTCATACGAGGGGGACCTCGTCCGCTCCACGCCGCCACAAACAGTGGTGAGGGAGCTTCATGTGCCATAGTGCCATACACACGACTGGCTGCCCTGCCCACACTTTTGTACACGCGGATTGGATTGGATTGGTTGTGCAGGTGTGTTGCCGGCTCGCCTATCACAGCCAAGTGAACACACGGCGATGCACATGGTGCCTGAGGACAAGCGACAAACGGCACAAACCCAAGCTCGGGCACCTTGCACTTGCATGGCCATGGGCGCGCCGGTGCCATATGGCCACACGGCAAACACAGGTGAGGGAGGCTCAGCAGACGGCTGCACTTTTACTTCTCTTTAAGAGTCTCTGGGGGTATGCTTCTGCAGGTCCGGTGCGCGCTGGCTGACAGGCTGACATGGATGGACATGCCGACCTTTGCTGCCTGGAGTACTTGCCTCATATGTGCCATATACCTGGCACACCGGTACAGCCTGACTGACACATTCTGACTGTTTGTCTGTCTGTCGCCACCTTCGATTCACTAATTCTGTTTGTCCGTCTGTCTCTCGGCACAAACAGAATTAGTGAATCAGTCAGTGGTGGCGACAGACTTACAGTGAGTGCATGGTGTGGTGTGCCTTTGCTGATCTGTTTGTTGTTTATTTGTCATGTTAGTTTAGTTTATGGCGTTGATTGATGCGTGGCGTGATTGATGGTGCGTGTCCAAAGGCAGGTCGGTGTGTGGGCGATGGATGGATGGATGGATGCTCCGTTTGTGGTCAAGTCAAGAGGATGCGACGACGCAATTCATCCTTTCGCAACTTGTGTTCGTGCTAGGTGTTTGTTTGTATGAAAAGATGCGGCTAGTGAGTGCATCCATCGTTGTGGGGTGACTGTGCGTGTCGGCTGTATGCCTGTCTAGTCTAGGTCGATCTGCGTGTGCATGATCGACAGACAGACAAGAAGATTGGACAGAAGATATATGCGAAAGGGTACTAATGCATTCCTTCGGCAACGATTGCTCAAGTGTCAGTCAGTCAGCCCCCATTTATCCATGACGAATGCATCTACAGCACGCATCGATGGCTCAATCACAGCTCGGACTCCTCGCTGAGATCGGTGGCGCCGTCGACGTGCTCCTCATCCCTACCCCTGCCCTCACCAGACAGCAACACTCCTGCACACACCACGCCACCCCACACAAGCCGCGTGCAAACATAAATCATGTTGTGTCGCGAAACACTGACTGACTGACCGTGTGGGTGCTCTTCCGTCTCGTCCCATATGCGTGGCTGCCGCAGGCCCAGCTCCCGCCGCTGGATAGGCGTCAGGCCATACAGGGACCGATACCGGCGCCCACGACCGCCAGGCGCCAGGCGCCCTCTGCCCCGCCTCTGGATGGCCAGGGCACGCCGATCTGCAATCACACAATGCAAGGATGGGATGGCAAAACACACAAATGGTACGGTTCTGTCCGTTCCCTCCCTCCCTCCCTGTGTGTGTCGTCTGTCAACTGACCTCCCCGCGCTGGCATCATCCGCCGCCTTGCCGGCTTCACGTGCATTCGCTTCCGAGGGGCGGCAGCAGCACCAGTCTTGTCTTCCCCGAGAGCTGCCGCCACCTCGTCCATCTGGCCTGCCGCATCATCGCCGCCTTGGCCCTCACGCCGCAGCCGGTCGTACTCGAAGAGGGCGGCGATGGTCGTGGCGCCGTCGATGTTCTCGACCGTCTTGGGCACGCACCCACGGACAGCCAGCCAGTGATAGCTCTGCAGCCACACGGGCAGGAAGGGAAGCACAGATTGTCTGTTGGGTGTTCATCTGTGTGTAAGTGTGCAGCTGTGGATGTACCAGGAAGGGGCGTTTCGGGGCAGTGGGTGGACTCGTATCAGTGGTGGCGTCAGTGAGGCTCACAAGCTGACCCGCCTGACCAGCGAAAGGCGGAAATATGTCACAGCGGGCGGGCACTCTCCAGCTTTTCGCACCTACCTCTTTGGGCCTTGTGGGTGATGCCTTGGGCCTGTTGCTCGCGTAGCCCAACAATCCCTGCATCACGCCGGCACAGTTGCAATGATGGAGAGCGTGTGTGGTGCTAACAGCCAGTCACCGGTCTTCGGTGTGTGTGAGTTGCTGACCTCTTGCCCAAGCAGGAGGAGGCTTCTGTCGACATCTGCTGGCCGCAAAGTGTGCGGGTCAGTCAGGCTGCACTCCCGCTGCTGCCTCGCACACTGCATCTCACCACACAGACACAAAAGACACACACACCTCACACCGCCAGTCAGTGCCGGGAGCGTATGGCGTCAATCTGGTTGACCAATCCCATGCTGTTGTACACACCTGTACAATCTGTCTGAGCAGCACCTCCAGATGCAGCGACAGCGCCTGCTTGGCCTCCTCGGTCATAGGCGGGATGTCGAGCTCATCCACAATCCCATCCACTTGGCGACGGGTGACGCGCCTCATTCGAACAGACAGCAGATCTGCAAGGCTGTAGGCGATATCCAATGTTGAAGGTGACAGTCCGCTTCTTCCTCCTTCCCCTTTTAAGCTCGCACGAGTGAGGGTCGAATGAATGCTTCACGACAAACGTGATGGCCGCTGACGAGCAGCTGCGGGAGGAGAACCAATCCCTCCGGCAGCAGGTGCAGCGGCAGGCCGCCAAACTCCAGCGGTATGAGCGTGTCATCGCCCAGCAGGCCGCTACCATCACGAGCTACCGTGAGGCCTTCCAGCACCTGCAGACGGCACGGGCCATCCAGCGAAGCGGCCAGAGAGCCATCGCACCGCCGCCGTCCGATGCGCAGCCGGCTCTCGCTCTCAGCAATGGGCCGCCCAATCCCCGCCCTCACCCCTCGCCAAACGTGACGGCTCAGGAACAACAGCAGGATGGCAATGGCGGCAATGACGACATATCGCCTGACGGCGTGGCTGCGGCAGCTGTGTGTTCGAAGAGGCACAAGACATCCGACTCTCAGAAGCGCGAGGTCCACTCTGCCCAGCCGCGAGACGACTATGTTGATGCTCCTGGCAGCGGTGATCGAAATGGCGAGCCGGCAGAGAGGGCGGACCAGCCGGATCAGAGCGGCGATGGTGCTTCTGGCTGCGGCAATGGGATGATCAACAGTCTGTCGCAGCCCATTGTCATTGACGAATCGCAGGAGGCCGCTGAGAAGCCAGAGGAGGGAGGGGGAGGGTCCAGTGGGGGCGGCGATAAGGATAAGGACCATGGGCGTGAAGAGAGCATGATGGCCGGTGGAGGGAAGCGGCCCGATGAGGAGATGCACGCGACTCCCCCCGAAGGGACCCCTCCAGACGCCGCGCAGCCGATGGCCGTCGACCGCCACACACCCACACCAGCCACCCCCCAGGACGGCCATGACGGTCCCATCCCCCCTCCAGCGTTCAACATCAATCGCAGCTCCCATGATCACCGTCGCGACGGGCGGCACCTCATCCTGTCGCCCCGGCGCAGCAACAGCCGCTACCGATACGGCCGGGCACCCGCACTCCTCCCAGACCCGGGCGAGCCCACAGACGGCAGACGCAAGCGCAAGGTCATCTACCTCAACCAGCACGGGTCTCTGCGCCAGTCCCCATCCCCTGCTCGTGCTGCAGCGCTGCCTGATGCCGATCGGGGGGAGGAGGAAGGTGAGGGCCACAGTGGTGGTGATGGTGCCGGTGGTAGGAGTGGGAGTGGGAGTGGGGATGGGGCGGTTGGGGGTGGTGGAGAGGCGGCGGGGGGTGACGGTGTAGGGGGGAGGTTGCACGTGACCAAGCTGGCTAATGGCGGAATTCAGATTCGAGCAAGGGGTACAGACAGACAAAGCCGGCAATTGATCCATCCATCCATCCATCCCATGCGCTGTATGGTATGTCCTTCCCTTCCTGCAGGTCGTGATGCATTGGCGGGTCTGGCGGCCAAGAGGGCCAATGCTCCCAACTATCGTGCTGTGGTGAGTGAGTAGGCCAGGCCGCCAGAGCAAACAAGCCATCCACCATGCAGACAGACAGACAGCATGAACTGTGCTGTCTTGTGTCGTGTGTCTGTGGGGTGTCAGGTTCGTAATCGCGAGGAGCGTGCGGACAACATGGAGGGCTACGAGTGCTCGCAGTGTGCGGGCTTCTACCGGGCGCTCGGCATGGACCCGCCCGCCGATGTCGTCTGCAACCATTCTCACCATCACCAGCAGCAGCAGCAGGGCAGCGGGGGCAGCGGCGCCTCCGACCGAGCGGCTTCTCGTGCTGCCAGGGCGGCCAACATGCTGATGCCGCTGCCCGTCCCCGCAGGCCGGGGGCAGCAAATCGCACAGGCTATCGTCAAGAAGACATCCAAACACAGGTACGTACGTGGGTGGGCAGGTTGGTGCATTCGACCACAGATGGTTGGGAGATGGTGTGGGTGTGTCATGTTGGTGTGTACGTGTCAGGTTCTACCGTCCCCCGGCAGCCACGCCCGAGGGCTTTTGGGCCATTGACTTCCCGCCCACACCGCCCGAGAGCCCTGCCAGCCAGTGAATGAGCGGGACGCCTGTGTGTGTGTTGGGGGTCGGTGGGAGGGGGGGGGGGTAATTCATTGTACAGTCGAGTTGGCGCGTGCGGACCATGGAATTGACAACTTTTGCAATGCACCATGTGTTTGCTTCACGCACTTGACGATACAGACTCGTCCAAAAGCCTGTCTGTCTGTCCGATGAATGATCAAGACATACGACAGTGGCTGGCTGGCTGATGCATCCATCCATGCATCGATCACATGACGATGATGAACATGACCATAAAGCAAAAGACCACCGCACCAATCACCAGCAGCAGCATCGCCATCAGGAAACTCATGTCGCCCGACCTGATGACATGATCATCGCACCCACACACACACATCTGTGATGCCATGATGCATTTCGTCGGCTGGCTTGCAGCCGGCGCACCTTCTGAGCTTCCTTGCGCGTTTGTTCTCGCTCTGCACTCTGTCCAGATGACGTTGTTGTGTCGCTGCGGTGTCACGAAGACGCTGCACGCACGCATCCAAACAAGAGGGTAGAGTACTCATCATCCGGCCGAAGCAGACTTCTCCCGATCTGTGTGTCTGGTCTGACCAGGTTGTCTTTCTGCAGCACTTGCCGATACCGGTGGGCTGCACCCTTCATCTCCTGCACACAGCCACCCACCCACCCACACACGCATGAGGTTTCCCTGCCCCTTTCCGCCATTCTCTCACCTCTGCCAGCCCGACGAGTTCGTCCTTCATCTGCTCCGTGTCGCCCTCTCCCTCCCGGCTCACTCGACCCATCCCCAGCCCACCGCCCTCATCGCGCCGCCGCCGCAATCTGATCGACGTTGACGATGAGGCATGGTCGTCTTGCGGTGGCGGGCGAAAGGGGGACGGGGGGCCAGGGGGCATCGCTGACGTGGCGCCTGCTGATGCAGCAGGGTGGGATCTGCAGCCAGTGGAGGGAGCCGGGCCGGAAGTGGTACATTCGTGCAGCAACGCGGGTCTGTTTGTCTATGCTCGCTTACGTGTGTGCTGGTGTCGGCTCTGCTGCTGCTGCTGCTGCCGGTGGTGGCGATGGTGTGGTTGCCATGCCATCGAGTGGTGGCTGAGGTTGTGGTGGGGAGGAGGCGGTGGTGCCGAGGCTGTGTGCCTGTGCACGCTGGATGGTCTCCTCGAGGATGGTGGGGTCGACCGCCGCTGGCAGGGCGTGGGACTGGTGCAGACTGCTTGTCGTCAGAAACGTCTGTGGGCACGATAGGGCTTAAGGAAAACGATGCATCCACTGTCTGTCTGTCTGTGCCTCCCCTTTCTGTCTGCTGTACCTGTTTGAGCAGCTGCTGCACGGTGGCCACGCGGCCCCTGTACTCATTGACGATGCCCTCAGTCAGCTCACCGGGATACTCCTCACCTACAGGCAGGACCACCACCCAAACGCACCGACCAGTCGCTGCGTGAGTGTCATTCATTCGTGCCAGAAGGACCCACCTGCGAGCGCATTGCGCTCCAGCGCCTGCAGCATCTCATTCAGCTTGTCAACATACTGCAACAAAGGCAGCAAACCAAACAGCACACAGAGCCAAAGCCATACGTCAAGAAAATCAGAGTATCCATCTATGTTTCTCGCTTACCGCTTTGGCCTTGTTGATGAGTATCTCCCTCTCCTCCTCCTCCTCCTCGGCGTTGTTGTCGTCAACGCCGCCGTGGCTGGGGGCAAGCGTGTCCTCCGCCTCGGGGTCGCAGAGCGCCTCCACACACCGCAGGAACGAGTCAAACTCCCACAGCGGCTCCTGCATCACCATCCTTCCTCCTCCTTTCTTCTTCCCCTCTCTTCTTTCGGCTCGCCTGCGAGCTTAGCGCGTTTTTTCCCAGCTAGTTTCGAGAAACTTGCATTAATCGTAACACTCGTCTGTGTGTCCGTGATACTCATAAACATACAGTCCCATGAGCACGCAGAGTCAAAACGCTCACGGGGAGGAGGGATCGATCCCCGCTCCATCAGCACACCCCAGTCCCGCAAACCCTCCCCTCCCTCCCCCACGCAGACAGTAGCTAGTCGCACGCGCGAGGGCGATAGACAAGCGAGAGCGAATCCATCCAGACACATGACTGAACCCCCGACCCTTCCACCCCTCCTTCTCCAACAGCGCATGAGCTATGTGGGCGATGAACACGTTGGCATCGTGTCCCCACACACCGTC